TTCCAGAACCTCAGTTTCCTCCTCTGCGAAGTGGGTAATGATACACCGGGAATTCGCGAGGGACGGCTTGCTAAGCTTTCCCCGCCTCATCATTTCTCCCCTTTCCCCACGGATTCCCCAAGTGCCCAGCACTCTGGCCGCGCTGCGGGGCCGCAGCGATGATAAGCAGAGACTCTGCAGACGACGTGTCAGGCTGATGAGGGCGCGCAGAGATGGCTGTGTCAACACAAATACCCAAGGAACTCCCAGCCGGCAGAGAGGGAAGAAAGGCACAGCAAATGGGAACATCCGCGACTCAATGAGATTTCGATTCAATGAGATTTCGTGCTCACGACTGCTTTCCTCCTCCGCTTTGAGCTATGTTGGGGTCCGGACCTGGGCCAGGGCCAGCGCAGTGTGTGATACACCAGAGGTGTGCCATCAATGTTGAGGGAATTAAGGGGAAGTTCGGTTCAGGGCATTTTAGATCAGGAAAGGGGGATTAACAAGAACCAATCTGACCTCCACCCATCTCCCATTTTACAGAGTCCTGAGCCCCAGGGAAGGGGAGAGAGCAGGCAGATGGGCTAGAGACCCAGGTCTGATTCCTGACCAATGCATCTCAAGCACAGCTATCAGCTGTCTTGTCTGTGGAGGGCTTCCAGAGTAAGACTAGGAAGAAAGGACTGGTGATCTGTTTTTCTTTTTTGACCCAATTTTAATCTAATTTTTTTGTTTTTCTATCTTTTTTTTTTTTTTGCAATTTTCCGGAAATCAGTCATTGGATGGGGGGAATGACAAAAACCAAAATCAAAGCCCTGTGAATTATGACAGCCCCATCTGCAACGGACCGTGGGGACGGGACAGGAACAGGCAGCGTTTTGTCAGATTGTACATGACTCCAGGGTGGCTGTCAGCCAGGAAAGAGTGGTGAAGAGCTGGCGAGAGAAAGGCGAGCAGCCAGAAGGGAGCTCAGGGCACAGCAGACGGCCCTGATGTCCAGCCAGTAGCCATGCCTCCCCCACATAGCGACAGTTGGGCATTCTTTCATTCAGTGGATATTTACGGAGCACCTACTAGGTGCCAGGCGCTGAGAACCAGACTCCCTGCCCGTGGAGCTGTCATCTCATGGAGGAAACAAGCAGCATAAACAAATACATGCGTAACAGATGGGGATTGGGATGTGAGATGGAGGGGAGGGGCCTGTAACGAGAGCAAAAAGTGGCACATAGAGGACAAGAGAGGCACTTCAGGTGGGTATCCAGGAAAAAACTCCCAGGGGTGTGTGGGGTTGAATGACTTTTACTCCTGCACATGCCGCTCGCTAACCCAGACACAAGTGATCAGAGGAACACATACCAAACCCTGGCCGGAACCCTCGGCGCTCCAGTGGGGTGATGGGCTACCCATTGAGCTTGCCAACTGCAAGGTCAGCAGTTTGAACCCACCAGCTGCTCTGAGGGAGACAGAGGAAGCCGGCTCCCTGAAAGAGACACTGTCTCAGCAAGCCGCAGGGCCAGTTCTCTCCTGTTCGACAGGGTCGCTCTGAGTCAGAATCAACTCGATGGCAGTGAGTGTGGTTTTGGAGGGGTTGCCTAACCCAAGCCTCCATTTCGAATACCCAGGAAATGCTTCCCGGGTATCCCCAGACACGTTCTCTCTCAGCCCCTCTCCTAACACGTACAGACGACTCACTTCCAACGGCATACCCACACCCACAGGGACGGACGTGGCGTCATCCGCCACCTGTGCACGCTCCTGCAGGTAGTTTCAACCACGTAACTCTCACACGCTTAGAAAGCACCACCCACCCAGGCACACTTGCACAAACCAAAGGCATCCCCCTCCCCCCATGGAGCCCAATTGGACTCCTAGCCATGCCCAAAGCCCCAGATGTGCCCATGTGCCTGGGGTCCCGATGGCCCTTCCCAAGCTGGCTGGAGCTCCAAGGGTTCATGGAGTTTGGCGAGTCCCTTCCCAGGGGACATTCAGCTGTAATCCTCACTTCTTTCCCTCTTGGGTGGCCACCCATTCACTCCTGTCTCCTCCAAAGGTAAGGGCTGCCAGGCAGCTGGAGCTGACTGCTCATGGGCAGGGTGGAGGGTGAGGCCTCTCTTGGTGTCAGCTGCCAGTGCAGTGCATCTCCTCTGCCATCTGGACCCCCTTCCCCAGTTGGCCAGCTGGCCAGAGGAGGAGAAGAGGGCTTAGAGACACCTCCCTCCCCCATGCCAGGGGCACCCAGCCAATTCCTGAGGCTCTGCCTCCCTCCGGCTCCAGGCTTATGTCTGCATGTGCCTGGTAGTGGTGGGATGTGCTTTGCCTCTACTGCTCTCTCTTCCTGCCAGCCTCCTCTGAACAGCCACTTCTCCACTCTTTCCTGCATCCCCCCAATCCTAGAGGACCACCATGGGCCAGGTGTGAATGTAGAGACTGGGCATACAGCCAGGACCACTGGTAGAACTTGCAAGGCCCAGGATGAGATGAAAAGGTGTGTGCGCACTTGTAGGGGGAAGGGGTGAGGGGTGGGGATTCCCTTGTTCAAACTTAGGCAAGAATTTCCAGCCGACCCTCGCCTCCATCTGCTTGATTCCATTCGACTCAGTCAGCTGCTCTATCAGAGAAAGGCAAGGCCATGCTCTCCAGCCTAGAAAACCCACGGGGGCTGCTCTACCCTGTTCTTGAGGGCCGCTGTGAGAAGCCAGCCATCACAGAGCATTAAACCAAGAGCAGGGCCCTTCTGAGGCCTGGGGCCTGGATGACCACACCTGTCTAGAAGGAGCCCCCCCCCCCCCTAAAAAAGTTCCCTGCCCTCCTGGAATTGAGATGCTGGGAAGAGGGGGAACAGATAAGATGGATGTCAGAGAGTGAGGCTGGGGGCTTTCCCTCAGCAGAAAGACTTCTGGAGGGAGTTGAGTTGGTGCAGAAAGCCAAAGGAAGGAAGACCCCCAGCCCATGCATTCAGGCAAAATTTACTTATGGGGCACCTACTGCATGCCTGGGGCCCACTGGGGCCAATACAGACTCCCATCCCTGTTTTGCATCCTCATCAAAGGACAGACAATAATAATAATAAGTTGTATATTTTATTAGACTGTTAGAAGGAGCCCTGGCAGGGCCTGGGGGTTGAGTTGGATTGCTCTCTGTAAGGTTCAAACCTCCTAGCCACACTTCCT